GCCAGACCATTCTGGCTAGCATAAGCCCTTGCCAGACGAGGGCAAAAATGCTATGGCGGGAGGCGAGTAATAGGCGTTGCGTGAAAACTTATAGCATATATTCAAACTATATTATGAGAAATTACAAATTATGGTCAAAATAAATTTAATTAGTCACAATAAAATATATATTATCATGAATTAATCATCATTATCAGATATATCGCTAATTAATACTTCATCGTCATAAGATTCGGCATTGCTGACTTATCGTTTATAAAAAAAACAAATTTAAATATATTAATAATATAATAAATATAAAATATTACAAATTTAAAAATTTTAACATTACCGCCTATGTGTTGATCAGCTCTGTTTGCATCCTCCTCAGCAATACGAGAAGGATGTTGTGATATTATTTCAAAATTTGAAGAAGGAACGGTATCTCTCACAAACTAATTGAAATCAAATATTTTTTCAATCAATATCCAGCCAGTATTTTGAGATTTAAGAATTGTTGGTACTTTTAAATGACTATTTCAAAGCTATATCTACTCGTGCAGCATGTGCTGCCGCTAAAATAGACATTATTTTTTCGAAATATTACCGAATGTTTTTGGTATATTTTTCATTGAATGCAGTAAATAAAGTCCATCGAAAACAACAGCATTATACCAAATTGTTTCGTTATCAGTTATATTTGCTTGTAAGACTTCAATCATTGCTGTTTACGCGGTTTTATAGATAGTTCCATCTGCGTGGCAAAGTGACATTAAAAGTAGTTGGTATTCGTATTTTGCCTTGAGGCAAGTTACATGAACTTCCCGACTTAATCAATAAAAAATAAATTAATTTATGAGTGATTAATAGTATTACGAGTGGATTTATTACACATAATTGAAAACGAACGAACACGTTAACTCGGAGTATTTTCTAAAAGCAAATTTTCACAAATCAATAATTTTTATAATTGAACCAGTATTCGTAGGACTTTAATGGTTCAGTATGTTCATTAAGACCATTTACTCTATCGTTATACCAAGTAAATCGTCTAATTTTAATTTTAACAAATGTGAAAATAAAAATTCACAAAGTACTCATACTCATTTTTTCAATATTTGATGAATTTTTAAAATTAAACTACTTGTCGTAATGCGGTAATATTTCACTAAGTTCTATAAGACCATGATATATATATCCCCAAAAAAAGTTCCATAAAAATCGGCTTAAATTTTGTTTTCAACAGTTAATTACAAGAAAACGGCTCGGTAGATTTTCACCTAAAACTAATCAATATCATTCCCAACTAATATCTTTCGAACAGTTTTTGATTTTTTAAAATCGATTCGGTAGTATGAGCTTAAATGTGGATGAAAAGTTTAACACATTTTTCCAAATTACAAAGAAACGGCAGATCGTAGCACAAAACTGACAAACGATAGTTCTCATCGATGTACATCAAATGGCTTTTGAATTTTTGAAATCGGTTCCGGCGTTTTTGAGCAAACGTCGATAAAAGGTCTAATTTTGACAAATGCCAAAAAAGCGATATTAATTTTTGCAAATTTTGATGAATTTTTAAATCGGTCCAGTTGTTTTTTAGAAAACGTCGATTTACTTACGGAAAAAAATTTGTTCACTTTTTCCAAATTTGGTCTCATTCGATTCAGAATGGCTTGAAACGTCGAGAAAACATAAAATTAACCAATGGGATTTTTTGATGAAAACAAACTTCTTCGGGAAGCTAACAATTGTAATGAGATATGATAAGGTTTCGCGCCAACAGGCGACCAACCAAATCACGTTGGACACGAATTTCGTGAACTTTATTATTAGCTTTAATAGGTTTCTTTTTTTTCTGAAAAAGAAATTCATAATTTTTACCTGTGAAATTTTTTCTTCAAATCTGTTACCCTTCGTTGAACATTCAGAAATAAATGTTTCTTTTCAACTTTCACCTATTTTCAGAAAATTCAATTGATACTCAATAGAAGCCTGAATTGAAGTATTAATTAGCGATATATCTGATAATGATGATTAATTCATGATAATATATATTTTATTGTGACTAATTAAATTTATTTTGACCATAATTTGTAATTTCTCATAATATAGTTTGAATATATGCTATAAGTTTTCACGCAACGCCTATTACTCGCCTCCCGCCATAGCATTTTTGCCCTCGTCTGGCAAGGGCTTATGCTAGCCAGAATGGTCTGGCAATTGCACAGACCTTTTTAGAATTTCTTAGATAAACACATATGTAAATTTCAGCTTTACAGGACAAAGTTTATTTTGGGGCATTTTTTGCTCACTTTCCGGCTCGTCTGGCAGGTACTTGTGCAGGTCGAAATGGTCTGGCAGATTGATTTTCGAACTTCTCAATGAGTAAATTAAATCGTATAAAAATTTGAACCTTACAGGAACAAGTTTAATTTTCGGGTGTTTTTTACACTTTCAAACGCCTGGACGACCATGATGTGCAGGGCTAAAACCTGCCAGACCGTCGTTTCCGTACTTAGCACGTTAAAAATCACCTGTACAAAAATTTTTAGCCTTACAGGAACACCGTTATTCAAAAGGTTCACTGGCTCTCAGTCTAAAAATTCAGTTCAATTCAGAAAAACAACCTTTTTCAACAGGATTGTGAAAAGGTAAAATATTTCATAACTTTGCTCAAATTTATTATTTATTTACTTGAATTTTTTTTGTCTTAAGGGCCTCTCCAAGTCGACCAATTTAGAAAATTGTAATTGCATAGTTCAAGAAAAAGTCTTAATTTTGGAAAATTTGGGCAATTGTATCTTTTTATTGTAATCTCAGAAATGTTATTCACGGTTACGGTTCAAAAGTTTAAATATACAAAATTGATAAAAGTTAACGACAATAACCAGAAAATGGTCATAATTTTTCCAAAGCTCTAGGTGGCACTTAAAAGCTCATCAACAACGTAATATATTTTTTTCAAAAATTTTTCAAGACTGTGAATAAACTTGTGAATGTATAAAACAAGGTGAAAACCATTCAAATTTATATTTTTATACTAATTAGTGAGCACTTGGTGTTCAATATAGTAGACTAAAAATTTAACACCAAAATTTGTTATAAGGTTAACAATTTTTAAATATTTTTGTTATTACTTTCACCCTGTTTCAGCTTGACGTCAAGGTCTGGACACCCTTTATAAATCGATTTTTGGAACAATTTGTTGAGAAATACATATTTATATCGCTCGACTGCTCTTTTCTGAAATAAATTATTATAAAATGTTTTCGCATAAAATCATAAAACAACTCCTTGATGTTTATAACAGAAGATTTTTAATATTTCTAATAGTCTTTTATCGACAAGAAAATTAAATCTTATTAAACAGCTGTTCATATGACATTGAATTACTTTGCTGATACTTTGATGTTATGAAGTATGTTTATTTCTATTTTTCAAGCAAAAGAAGATTTAAGAAAACTCTTATTTTCTCCGAGGCTTGTAAAAATCGTTTGAGCGTACAAATTTTTATATAAATGTTTTTTGTATGAAGGTTATATATTAGGAATTTGCAACAAATCATGCTTAATAATTTTCTGCTCGATGTGAGAATTATTCGCGCATCCTTGGGCTGTAATACTAATGATTTAAATTTTGCTGAAGACTCTCCTACTTTATTAGATGTACTTTATTCTCTATAGTTCTTTATTTTGGATGGAAATTTTTCAAATTTATAAATGTATGAATTTTAAAGATGAAGATATTTTTTAAATTTGATAAAAAATAAGTAGAATTTCTGTAAGCGTGAACAGTTAAAAGGTATGGTCTATTCAATAACAAAATTCCACCTTACTGTTCATCAATATTCTAAATAAAATTATTATTATTTTTTACGAAATAAACATATATAAAATTAATAAAATAGCAATAAATTAATCCATCAAGCAATCTTTAAATATATGGTTCATTGTTGTAAAATACATAAATAAATAAGTTAGGTGCACTCACAAAAAATGTTATTAAAAATAACAGATTATCACAAACTTTGAAGGTAGAAACTTTATTATTTAATATTTAATTTTTTTTTAAACATAAACTTGTGTATGTGAAAACAACTAATTGTTTTTAGTACTGAGATAAAAACCGATAGCATTTATTTTTTTAAATTAATCAGTAAGAATTAAACTTATTGTTCAAAATAGTGCTCTAAAATTGCTAAACATATAATATGCTAAATTTGTAAATTTTTTATAGAAAAAAAGATTTATTGCATTTTTTAGACGTTTTTCAACCGATGAATTTTTGGATAATATTTCGTATTTATTAAGAACATAAAAATAATATTCTTTGCGTTTTACATGAACTATTGGCATAAATTGGCTCATGATTTAATACAAATTTATATCTTATATAATAAAATAAGGAACGTTTTCTGATATTTTATCTGGATTTATGTGAATATATTAAATTCTATTCGCCACATAAATAACGGTATGACAAGTAAAAATCTATTAAATATTTATTTAAAAAAGGTAGGTCTAGTGGTTTCATTGATCTAGTAAAAAAAGTGAAAAAAAAAACCTATTTTGGCGTCAAAAGTGATCAGTAGACATAAGCACATTAAATTATCACATATTCTATAGATATGTTATTAACAAATATAAATTTTGTTTACATTTTTATGGGTTCTGTACCAATGTTTATCCGCTAGACTACGATGCGGCGCTTACGCGCTTTGATATTTCTTTTCTAAAATAGCCACGCAGCACGATTGCTTTGGAAAAAGTTCAAAATTTACAAACAATTTCAAAATCTAAAGAAAAAAATATTTTTACAAAAGATAATTTCTTTCAAAAATTGCAAAATTTTCAAAAATCACAGTTTTCAAAGTTTTCAAAAAATTCTAATTTTTGGTACGAAAACTTCCAGCAATTTGCCTCAAGGCACGATGCCATGCACAACTAGTTTGCAAATAAATAATTTGTTTCTTAATTTGGAAAGCACAGGTTTAGAGTCAAAAAGATCGCATTACTAACCTCTGAGTACTTCTGAGCAGACGTCGCAGGGCGTGATCTTTTTGTAGGTGTACTCCTGCAGGAAGTGCGACACGTTTTCCACATCGTTGGATATCTTCCTGCGACAAAAGAAATACACATATGTTTGAGAATATGTTGAAACATAATATTATGACAAAGCTTGATTCGATGATATCGTATTACTCGAATTAGAGAAATAAGGAGAAAATTCAACGCATACAATGGAAATACAATATGGAATTTAACACAACAATCAGGCGATATTTTTTGTGGTCTTCCTATTATTCAATTTGTGGCCTCCTTGTAATTATTAGTAATTATAAGAATAGATTACTATATATGATAATATTTAATACTATATTACTTGAATTAGAAAAATAAGGAAAAAATTCAACTTATTGCTGTATACAATGGCGATATTTTTTAAATGTAGCTAATAACTGAATTTGTGGTCTTCTTATAATTATTGGGAATTCTGCATGATATTTTTTCAGTATATACGGATATTAACAAATTATTATAATTTTACAAAATAGCAGGATATATTTTTAATGATTTAAAAAAATAAGGCTGAGTTTTCAGTCATAATCATATATATATATATATATATATATATATATATATATATATATTTATTATAATCATATAATAAATATGATTATAATAAATTAAGTCAATTTCAATTCAAAAAGAATATATTTTAATATATAAAATTGGTACTTGAAGATGAATTACCATATATGATTAAAAAATATGAGTGTAGTAAAAACAGCAATTAGTATGTAGCAGAACAGTTATTAAAATAAATTCATTTAATACAGATCATGAAGAAGATTTTCTGAATCGTGTTACATTGTTCTAAGTTCCACTCAGTTTTTAGTTGTGTCCACATGGTCACTCATTGAAACTTAACCTCATTTTTCAAAAATAATTTTAATCAGTTTTTTATCTTTATAATAAATAATAACCTATAAACATACATCTTTTTTGGCGCCATATGAAAGCTTATTTACTAATTATAATACAACATGGCCAAAGCAAAAATCGTTTTGATTTAAATAAAAAAGTGAATGTATTTGAAAAAACAAACAAATGATAATTATTTTATTATGTTTTTTTAACTTCTCATCGAGTAAGTTATTGTAATCGTTTAAAAATCAGAAATGAAAATTTTTACACACGTTTCATTTGAGAGATTTTTGAACATTTTGCATATACCTCAAAACATAGATGTGTGTGTGTGTTTTGCGTGAATACAATTTTTCGTCCATGATTTCGAGCGCACAGATCAATCGATTTGATTTATTGAAAAAGCTTTTGATTCCAACTGATGAGGAGACGTGCTAATTAGTTTTTGGCAAAGACAAGTCCAGCAGTTTCGGAGATACGAAGCAAAGAAAAGAGAAATCGAATTTTTGAAATCGCAAGGCATCCGATTTGGATGATGAAAAAACATTCAATTCTAATAATAAAGAGAAGTGGTGACTAAGTTTTGGCAAAGACAGGCCCAGCTGTTTCGGAGATACAAAGTAAAAAGTGCAGAAAATAGAAATCGAGTTTTTGAAACCGCGGAGCATCCGATTTGGGTGATTCAAAAAACATTCAATTCGTAATAAAAGAGAGAAGTGGTGATCAGTTATTGGCAAAGACAGGTCCAACCGTTTTGGAGACTAAAAGCTTTTGGAAAATTGATGGTTTTTGAGAGAACGAAGCTCCCGATTTAATTGATTCAAAAATCCATTTGTGAATCAAAATGGATAAAAAAATCCATTTTTTTATTCCAATATTTTTTATTTTTGTATTTCCAAAATTATTTTTGTTTGAATATCAAAAATAATTCGGATTTTGATTTTAAATCTAGCTAGAGTTCTAAAGCTCACTTATATACTTTCAAAATCAATCATAAGACTATATTTGATAACATTCAATATTCTTCGAATATTTCATTACAGTATGGGAAGTTCCAGCAATTTGATTTAAAACACTATGCCATAAACTACTAGTTATATTAACAAATAAGCGCAAAGGATAAAAAATTATGTTGCAGAAACCCATGAACATATTTTTCACAAACAGAACTCGCTTATTAAAAACTACTGCATTTTTATGACCAAAAATATATATTACAATTGTTATAAAAGGCAATATCTAATTTTACTAAACAATTTAATGTAAATCATGAATTTTACCAACTCTGAAATCAATTTAAAAAATGTTCTAGTATAAATATAACCATAATATCCTTCAGTCGATGGCAAATATATACATACAAAATCAATGATAATGAACTTACGATCTATTCCAGAAGTTTCAAAGTTTTTCATCGCTCGATTTAGGTCATATAAATATACTTCGTTCAATAAATCTACAATAATATTAATGTTTCAGCGAATGCATATGCCATAAATTTCATATCTATTTTTATGGAAGAATGAAATCGACAAACTTATAGACTATGCCCTGCAGTATTTTATAAAAAGGTTAAACGTTTCCAATATGCCAAAAAACTCCTTGAAAGCTAAAGAAGATAAGTATGATCACTCCGAGCGTGATTTTTAATTAAATATTTGCTTAATCCGCTAAATACGGAAAGGATTTGGAGCCAGGTATCTATGGCCCCGTGTCATTTAAATGCAAACTTTTTTAATGAAAAACCTTACACGAATTAAATTGAAATTACTTAATCGCCAATTATCATAAGAGATGCCTTGGGGATTTATTTTATTAAGTTGCGGAGAAATTAATTTCTTTTTTGCTGTTATAGAATTAAATTAAAATGTGTGGATCTGACTCGAGCCGCATAATTATCATATGTTTTGGAAAATTGTATACTGAAAGTTGTTTGGGAAGAAATTCAATTTATTATATATAGCACTATTTAGTAAACTTTTTTTTATTATAATGAAGATGAGCAGTGTCAATGTAATGACATACTATAGAAAAAGTAAAACTAGTGATGCATGGCATCGTGTCTTAAGGCAAATTGTTGGAACTTTCCATACCAAAAATTATAAATTTTGAATATGATTTAAATTTTTTCTAGAACTGAAAAAGATTTTTGAGAATTTTAAAATTTTCGAAAAAATTGACCTTTTTGAAAAATTTTATTTTATTTATACTTTGATATATCTTGGAAATTTTGAACTTTTTTTCAAATTCATTGCAATACGTTAGCTGTGTAAAATCGAAGCGCGTAAGCGACGCATAGCAGTCTAGCAGATAATCATTGGCACGAAACCAATGGAAATGTAAACAAAATTTATTATTATTAAAATATCTGAAAATTTGATGTGCATATGTCTAATGATCATTTTTGTCCACATTCTTTTTTCAGTTTTTTATTAGATTTCCGAAACCACTAGACGTACTTTTCCAAAAATTACATACGATCTTCATTTCGTCGATACAAATAAAATGTTTTTTGAATTATGTAAATCCGGGGCTTCGTTCTCTCAAAAATTAATTTACCATCTTTGGCACTGTTTGCCTCGCATCTTCGGAACGGCTAGACCTGCCTTTGCGAATAACTAATCAGCACGTCTCCTTATCAATAGGAATCGAATGTTTTTTGGATCATTCAAATCGCTTGATTTCTGTTCTCAAAATCGGCGACGAAAAATTGTATCCGCACATACATACACACACGGACACACACATACATCAAATTTTTCTATGGTATGTCAAAATGTTCATAAACCTTTAAACATTTATACAAACATTATTATTTTACTCTACGTTAATAAAATTAATTGATATTTCTCAATTACTCAATTATCATAAAAGATGATATTAAGTGGTGGAGAAATTAATATTATTTTCTGCCAAAAATCAAATTAAAAAGTTTGCTTCTTGTTTAAATTCTCGAATAAAATAGACTATAATTTAATTAGTTAATTAAATGCAATCATTACTAGGTATCATATTTCTGTAATTACTATATGAAATAAAAAAAATAAATATAATATTATTTACTTTTATCTTATAATTAATAACTAATCAAATATAAAAATCAGATCATTGAAAATATATCAAGCAATGATTTCTTTTTAGATTAATAACTGTTTGCTATAGTTTAGATAAAGTTCCGTATAATTTCTATAACCAAAGCTATAATTGACATCTGAAGAAACAATTAATTTTGGTATATATTTATCATCTTATCCAACATGCAAAATTGGAATAATAATTCTTTGACATTTTCAAAGTATATAAAGTGCCAATATAATTAATTAATTGGTAGAAAGAAACCAGTTTTATATATAATTCATGTTTCATCATTTTTATGCTTTTTTATCTCATGGTTAATATTATTAATATAGTATGGATAATTTTTATTTATTTTTAATAATACTCCAGCAAAAAAAATTACCATACCATAAAAAATCTCAAATTTAATAAAGTATTCCCTTATCATTCAATCAAATTTAGAAATTAACAATTTTTTTAAAATTTAATACAGCAAATATTTAAAATATCATTATTATTTTTATTTATTATTTCATAAAAGTCTTAACAAATTTCACCTAAAATTAATTTCAATGTCAAAATGTTGATAATAATACTACAAGATTTTATAGATTTTATAAGCAGATTTTTAAGTAAAATCAAATTACCTACTTATTCGTCACTTAAGTCAATAAATTTATACATTGAACATTTTTCACTCGTATTACTACTTTCAATGAAATTTTCTTTGATTTGTGAATTGCACTTTAAAATCAATAAAAATTGGAAATGAAATTTAAAATCAACGACTTTACGTAGCGCGTAATAGATAAATTATATAGAAGAAAATTGAATATTTGTTTTTAATGACTTTCGTATTTAGTGATTTCTGAGAAAACTAGTTAAATGGTTTATGTAGTATATGTGTACTTCATAGATTAGATAATAAATATATATATATATATATATATATATATATATATATATATAATACAATTCAGTTTGATCTTCAAAACGCCAATATCGTTTGTATTCTGGAATGAATTGACAGTTGTAATAAAATTATTGATCAAACAGAGAAAAATGCGACATAGAACGAATTTGTATGGGTAAGACCAATTACAAAATATTTAGAATCGATCCAACTAGAATGAAAGCTTGAAGCTTTTGATATTTTAATAATGATAGAAATAATTGTTTTCATTCACACACAGCACATGCAAACATTCGTATATATATACACAATTGTAAAAACACACGAATCTTCAATATATGAGTTACAAAAGCAAAAGTAGTTTTGCTTTACTAGGTTTTGCTAGGAACACAACTCCTTCTTTATGAAATTTATTAAAATTTTGACCATTACAAATTCACTTTTTCTATCTGATCAAAGTATAATCATAACTTCCTTATAATATTTTTGAATTTACCAATTTTCATTTTCAATTGTTACGGTTTTTTTCAGTATTTCTTTCATGAAATAATGAAACAAATAATTATTTAAAAAAGTTCTCGTCAGTTTTCTTTTGACACAAGTTTTTTTTTCAAATTTTGATGATTTTTTAAGATTAAACTACTTGCCGTATGGCCGTAAAATTAAGTATGTTCTTTAGGACCATGATGTCTATCAACATAAAAAATTTAATCTAATATTTTTTTCAATGGTTAATTACAAAAAACGGCTCGACCAATCTTATGTCCAAATTTAATCAGCACGATTTCATTTTTTGAAATCGTTTCAAATTTCTTGACTAAAACGAAATTTTTTCACTTTTCTCTTAATTACTAAGAAACGGCTCGGCCGATCGTCGCACAGAACTGAGAAACGTTAGTCCTCATCGAGATATATCGAATGGCTTTTAAGCATTTGAAATTTGTGTAATTTTGACTAACGTCACTAGTTTTTGCAAATTTTGACGAATTTTAATTTTAAAAATTAAACGACTTGTCGTAAGACAGTATTATTTCAGTATGCTCTGGAAAGACCATGATATATATCGTCAACAAAAATATCATAATAATCGTCTAAAAAATTTTTAACAGATAATTACAAGAACTTGTGCTAGCGAATTTTGACCAAAAAGTAATCAGGTCGATTCTCAGCCAATATTCTACTAACAGTTTTTAAATTTTTAAAATCTATTTAAAATTGCGGACTAAAACGCGGACATTTTTTCACTTTTCTGCTATCAACGAAGAAACAGCCGATCGTTGCGAAAAATTAACAAACTATAGTGCTTATCGAGATATATCGAATGGCTTTCGAATTTTGAAAACGTCGATTTAGGGTAAAAAATATATTTACATACATATACTTTAAAAAAATTCTTAATAATGTACGTATAAAATTTTTTCGATGATTATACAGATACTTTTTATAATGCTGAAGTTTATGGCCTTAACAAGTATCCTATTAGATTAATTAGATGCTAATATTTCAAAAATAAAAAAAAATCAACGACGCATAAGAAAATCTCAAAAATATATATTTACATGTATATTACGTCTACTCAACGATCGAGTAAACTATTTTATGAGTTAGAAGTATTTGTAACTCTCCCGACCCAAACTTAATAATTAAGTCCATCGTGCAAGTTACACCAGAAGGCAAACTAATAATTATAAACATCCCGAGAAATTTCAAACAAACTGTTGCAAATTTAATTTAGCACTGATAAGGTTTAACATGGTAGTTTCTGAATAATGTAGGTCATTCATTTCTGCTCGTAATGAGTGTTTGTTGCCATTTAGTTTGTTGCCGAGTCGGTTAATGATTTATGTGGAACAAAGTGCGCGCCTTGATTAACTGTCATAGTGATTTAAACAGTATGGCTTATTGGAGAAGTTGATGCTATATACGAATTATCAATCCGACGTCAAATGTACTGCTGCAGGCGAAATGATGACGCTGCTGTACGAACTTTATTTCGTGACCCATTTGTAATTGGAACCGTAGTAGAATAAATTGGTGGGGCGTGATATTGTGACTTGGATTGACAAAACTTTTTGTGTTATAAACAAAACCTAACTTTTTTTGGAAGAAAAAAAAATTTTTTTTTTAAGTTTTGAATGGTTGAAATCAGACTTACTATAAACAAAATTTTAAGGCATTTACACGTCAGTTTTTTTTTTTTAATATACGTGAGCAAATTTGCATAGTTATTTAGCCTTAAAAGACAAATTGCTCGGCTTTCTGTAACGTAACTAAACATTTAAGGCATAAAAAGAACCAATAATCAATGAAAATCGATCAATAATTACTCCAATTATTTTAAATTTCTTATGTTTATTATTATTGTTGTTTTTGTTTTCTTCCTTTAATATTATACTTGAGCAAATTTCATAAATTTTAGCACTGAAATTTGAATGAAAAACTAGTGGTGCATGGCATCGTGCTTAAGGCAAATTGTTGAAATCTCCAGTTTGGAAAGATTTATTTATTCCACACAATGATACATAAGAGTAGATGTGAGAGCATTTATGATTTTGTATATCTCTCTTACGATAAAAATATAATTAATTAAAAATAACAAATATCTTAAAATATTATAGACTTATTGATTATTTACATTTCAGAAAGTTCATGCAATTTGTTTCAATGCAGAAATGCCACTTACAACCGGTTTCTTATTTGTTATGTAATTGTTGTGAATTAATTTTAAAAAACCTAAATTATGACGCTCATAGATAAGGTTTTTCAAAATTCTTATTTTTTTCATTTCTTTTTATGTTTATATAGTAATTATTTAAAATATTCTTGATAATGTAAATTAAATAAATTAAATGTATAACTATCGAAAAAATATCACAAAAACGAGACTAAAATTTTGAAAATTGCATTCGAAAAGCGCTGAATTGACAGAGTTATGTACAATTTTATATTATGTGCATGAATAGAATTAAAATCCTTATAAAAATATAGTATTTCTATAAGACAACAAATGCAACTCTTTGGTTAAGAAATAGCTGTTTTTATATCTTTTCCGAAATATAAACAGGTTTTTCAACCTTAAAAATTGGTGCTATTCCTGTCCATATAATATAATAAGTTTTTGTTATGATTTGAGGTATTAATATAATACACTTGATTGCAAAAATTGATTTTTGATTTTTCTTTATTTTTTAATAAGAGAATTATTCAATAATTTGAAAAAAATCGATGAAACACTTGAAGTGTTATTAAATCGATGATACTTCTTTTTATTCTTTCAAAACTTTGATTATTGTCAAATATTTTGGTGACGTTATTATTGAACGGTATATTCTTAGAAAATTTTTAATTCTATTAGAGATATTTTTTATTTAAACCTATTAATGAGAAACTGTTCATAATTTGATTTAATTATTATATTTAGGCAGAATGCACAAACAAGTATGTACTACCAATTGAATGTAAAAATATCAGTATATAACATTTTTTTCATGAATTAAATCTGATGATTTAATGAAATATGCTTCTGGATAAGAGCTCAAAATTTCATTTCATTACGTTTTAATTCAGGACATTCGGATATCATTTTCAATCTCAATTTCCAAGCGTATCATTTTGAACGCACGAGTAATATAATTTAATTATATATTTTCGAATAAGCTACGACAACATGATTTTAAGTCAATTCAATATATAAAAAAACGAGTGAGAGATTACGTAAGAAGCTATTAATATTAGTTTTCTCTTGCGTAATTCGAAATAATTGTATTTAAATAAATCACGCAGTAACGGCTGGAGAATATCTTATATCAAGCATGAAAATTATGCTTTTGAAATTCATATAATAAGTAAAATATTTTTGTGGTTTAGTATAAAATTGGATAATAATGAAAATTGTCATTAACGTGTTGTTTAATATTATATTTAATGCGATAGTATAATTAACTTACCTATCACTTTGACTATTGGTGGGTTTTAGGCTCCGGAATGCTTTTAACCATTTACTCTTCATGGTGGCACCTCCAGAATTTGACATTTTAGTATCCTCTAGTGGAGCATCTATTTTTCCTTGTAGTAATTCTTTCTGAAATTTTGTGGATTTTGGCGGTAATAAAAAAACTAAAATTTTAATTATAATATTTTTAAAAATCAAATTAATGTTGGATGATAATACAATCATATTTATACTGAAATGAATGCGAATATAACGTGATGTTTGTATACATGCCACTAAAAATATCAATAGTCATAATTGATGTTTGAACTAAATTTAGAAATAACTGCGACTAGTAAAACGAAATAATTTACTAGCTATTATCTTCTATTTATGGATGAAATATGTCATGATGTGAAGGTGCTTCATTTATTACACGAATTGTGACGGTTGAAAAATATTTGTATGGTAAACGTTATGATATGAATATATGCGGTGCCATAAATGTAACGGAAAATAAATCAAATGGAATAATTAACTGATATACTAAGAGTGATCTGTAGTTAATATGATTACATTTAGAAAATTATAAATGAATTGTCTAACAAATTCACGTACAAAATATAATCTAATTGTAACCCAGCCCATGGATACAAAACGAAGCTTTAATACTATCAATAAATCCACCACAAAATAAACTGAAAATTACATACACCAGAACACTCTTGAATATAAATACACAAAAAATACGTTTATTGTAGAAAGTCTAAAATCAAAAATCAACGAACATCGCACGGAGCGCGCCAAAACAGTGCGTCAGGTAGACAGATGTTTACAGTTAGCGCATGAATCGAAAAGACGTTTTAACTACAGATTTTTGTAAGAGAACAATGGTAAATTTTAAAAAATTTGCTAAAATATTCAATCAATAAAAAATCTGTGTACCGCGTTTAAAATTTATCACTACCGTATTTTGCGTGTTGAGCGTCGAGATAAAAATGATGCCGTGTGTCTCATTTCACGTGACGCTTTACGTAATACGAATATCGATACTGCGAGCAAACGCGTACCGTAGCGCAGTCGCGGATTCGACGTAGAGCCGACTCGTAGCGACAGGGGCGCGCCGAGACCATCGCCACAACAAACTATCGCGCCGCGCCACGGTGGAGACGCCGCGTAGTGGAAGAGACACCACGGTACCGCGGAGACCCCACGATGTAATAAAGGTGTTACAATGCAATAAAGACCCCAAAAAGCAATGGAGACCCCACAATGAAACGGATACCCCACAATTGAAACCAAATTTCAAATTAAGATGTGACCGTTAACGGACGATGAACAAAAACTTTATAGAAAGGCATAAGAATAATAGAAGTGCAAAATTTACCACAATTCTTAGTGTAAAAAAATTGCTAAATGTGAAGTTTTTAAATTTATTTTTACAAAATTTTACTTATTTTTCAAACTGAAAATAAACAAGAAAATTTTACAATATGTTAAATAATAAAAACGAATCAAAATATAGCTATTTAAATTATTTTTTAAACTGTTTATTTCGAATAAAAGGTTTCTAGTAAAAAGTCATTAAATCATACAAAACCTAACTTACAAAAACTACAGACTGTACAAAATAAAGCCTTACGACTAGTACTCAACAAATCAAGAGACCCACTGACCAGGCACTATTACTCTACGAAATATACACATGAACTGACTGACGTACCGACAGTACTCCACCAAATTAAAAAGCTCACTGAAAACCTTTACCTTAAATGTAAAGATCACTCAAATAACAACATCCAAGCCTTTGGCCAATATACTCGTGAAATAGTTTGGTATGGCAAACATGCCATGACAAACAACATACTGATCAACCTATAGATGTAATTAGAACCCCTTTTTATTTCGATAAAAACTGATGTGATTTTTATTAAGAATGATCAACATTGTTCTTTTTTGACGCATAAAAACAATAGACTGTTTTATATTTTTATAATACATATAAATGTACTGATCTAAAATATTTAATGATGAAGTATAATATTGGGTATTATACGTATTAGGTAGATTTATATACCAATCCACCATTATATTGTATACATTATATATATTGAAACATATCTTTTTTAGTTTAAAAATTGAAATTGTCACTAAATCAGAAACCTTTACGAATCTAATCAAGCCATTTTCATATGATGACTCAAAGAGACTTAAAAATAATATCTAAAATTGCATTAATTATAAAATACAAAAAAACATACACGGTGTATGGTCCAAAAACGCGGCCTATAATACCAATTTTTATAATTAAACCACATATTGTAAACCTATAATGATACAGAATGTTCGTCAAGACCACGAAATCTATCATCAAATAAAGTTTCATAAAAATCTTTTTTTTTCAACGATTAATTACAAAGAAACCACCCAGTGATTGCAACCAAGAACTAATCGCTGCAATATATTTCGAACCAATTACTATCATTCAAACTGTTTTTGAATTTTTAATATCAGTTCTGGATTCTTGGCGAAAACTTGGACACAAAATTTTGCTTATTTTTGCTATTTCTAAAGACACGGCTTAGGTGATCAGCAAAAAAAATTAATCAATGCGAGTCCTTATCGAGTTTCACCAAAATCCTTTTAAATTTTTGAAATCTAGTGCAGCCGTTTTTAAAAAAATATGGACGAAAGTTCTAATTTTTTCTCACATATACACGCACCAATTTCAGTCTCAAACAATTCAGATTGACTTGAAATGTCGACAAAACATAAAATTATACAGTTGGATTCTTTAGCAAACACACAATCATTTCTCTCGGAAAAATAGTTAATAATTTATTAAAAAAGTTAACAATTTACTTTATCAAATATTATATTGAACGAATGGACAAATGGCATATGCATATAAATTGTGAAAAATCTGTCAGTAAGTTAGTTACTAGGGTTTTCATGCCAATTTCCCGATACAGTGTCTTTAAAATAAGTATCATGCTAAATAAATTGAAAATGAACACAAAAATTTGTTTCTGTCTATGTTTTATACTCAATTTACATTTTCAGTTCATGGTCTCAGTTATACCCTATGCTTCATTTTATTCCTATGTTCTATACTATTCTCAAAATTCTCAGTTTCTAATTGGAAATGATTGGATAAATAAAACGATTAAATATCGATTTACCAATACTTCAACTTCGAAACTCCGTGTTCGAATAGTATTGAAATCATCCTGTTTATACTTTTCATTCAAAATTTCAAAGTTCACAACGGTCTCCGCCTACACTGGAAGGATTTTCGTAAAGGGCACACCATGTAAATCTAATTTCAGGTGTGAAGCGATTAATTTTTAATTTCGGATTATCTGCCGCATAGATTTTGATACAGGGAACAGTGAAAGTAATTTATTTTTTGGCTTTATTCTTCAGAATAATAAAGATTATGGAGGGTTTCGTCAAATATTGAAACCTTATATAAATTTATGAAATGGATTGTTAAAATATATAAGGTCTGCATCTGTTGTATAAACGACATATTTTATGAATTTGTAGAAATTTTAATAAGTGATGTGACGTCAAGACATGTGATGCCACAAAACGCCTCTTTGAAATGCTTACATGTGGGTGGGGCAAAAAAAAAACCGACCAGCTGAACTTGTACCTTGGCAAAAGTGTAAACAATAAAAAATAGTGAATATTAAATTAGGTTAAAAAAACAAATTTTTCAACTTTGCTGATATTTTGTTTGGCGAAATACTAGATCAAGGTTATATACACTGTTATCTTTGTAAAATATGTGCATATTAAATCCATATTTTGCACTGATTGAATAATGTATCTATTATTTCGTACAATCCCTTTAGATTTGAAATTAGGGTATCCAATCTGTTTATCCCTGGCTGTCCTTTTTTACCCAGCCTATGATGTAAAATACACATTTCTATAATTAGGAATTAACTGGGAATTTTATAGAACAAAGTCCGATAGTTACTTGTTTGATATGCGTTATGTATTGTGAGGTTCATTTAGTTTAACCACGATAATTACTTAAAGTCGAATTGGACCTTTTTGTCCCACCCTATCAAATATATACGTCTCAGTATTACAGATATCGACGAATCCCCGAGAAGTTCTATTGTTCGCTCCAATACAATATTTTCGTAAATATTTGCACAAGCACTCGATTTTTTGCCTCAATCGGTCCGTGTGGAAATTGATATTATAATTGCCTACAAAAAATATATAAAACCTTCATCCAAAAATTGTAACACGTTCATTTTGCATATACAATTATTATGAAATATGAATCCAACTTTGCTGGCATTCAAAACAATGTGAATAAAATATAGAGTGATGTTTTTATAATGGAAATTAAGCAAATGTTTATTATCGATTTGTGATTGAATTTCAAACTAATTTAAAAATGATTGCATAAAAATTTAAATAGAAGTAACTGAAATAATAACACACCGATTGTTTTATTCTAGTTTTTTTTTAATATTAAAATATTTATATAGATTTTAATATTTTATATAAAAAGATTCCCCTATGAGTTAGAACTTAGAGCTATGGAATTTTTATCTGAAATTCCTGGCTTGGCCAGCAGCATCTGATAGCCTGATATCAAGCAGTAGAGAATCTGTTTTTATTCGGAAATATATGGATAGCAAGTAACAATAGTGGTTCAGAGCATTGATGCACCAATAAATAAATTCATCAGTATTACAGTAGTTGTAATATTAAATCTATGACATAGATAAAGGACAACAGTTTGGATTGCCATAAAACACACGACGTTGAAAAAATCAGATCAATGTGAGTTAAGTTTTGTTAAGTTAATGTTTGATTTCTGATAAAATATTCCATAAACAGTTTGTACCTCAACCATATAAAGTCACTTAAAATATGATTTTTGTATATCCGCCAAAAATGTTTAATGTCTTATAATTCAATGAATGTTATACTATGTATATTGCCCGAATCCGAGTAAATGATAATAAGTTTGTCAACTTATTTCGTATTGTATTCTGCAATGACTTATCGATTTTATTATTCAGAGAAAACGTAAACATTTTGCCTTTGAAGGAATATTGACAATCAAGGTTAACCAACAACACAACTTGAGCATACAATGTTCCAATTATATGAAATGT